TTCTCACGTGATTCTCAGTATTGAATGATAGGGACAGGTGCTGATGAAAGTCTGCATTCTGTAGAAAATGCTTCAAGTAACATGCCTAGTCTCTTTTTTAGTAGAAGCTACTTATCTGATGTGCTAGACTTTCACACTATGAATTCATTTATTACTAATAAGCCTTGACAGATTATCGTGTTTACTGAGGTATTAGGTAATAAAATAAATAATGTTTAGTAAAACACCAAAAACATACTGAGAATAACAAAGTAATTACTGATGAAATTAGCAGAATGTTAGAATATTCGAATTAAATGAGAAAAACTATTACACCTACGCCAAACTGCTCTATTACCAATGTAAATGAATAACTAAACTGAGTGTTTGACTAATGAACACAGCATTTAAACACTAGTTCTTTAAAAGATTGGAGAGTTTCAAAAGTCAACTATGAAGCATAAGTGTTTTTGTCATTCATCATAATATGAGTAGAGCAAATTCAATGTAGACATATCAGATTTACATTTCAGTGTAATTCACTGATAGGTTACCAGGATTGAAATGAATTTTTTGCATTAGTGATGCAGTATCTGTACAAATAAGAAGATAACTGTCAGTAAATAACGACACTTAATGCATTTTCTCCAAAATCAAAGGTCATCAGTTTTCCAAAAGGCATAGCAGAAATATGAAAACGTCAGTAGGCTAGAAACGCCTGACAAAGATACTACATTAAAAAAGGAAACTTCAGTGAAAGTTTGTTTTTGTATTACTTGATAAGAATTCCTCTCAAGGCATTTCAATATATACCACTAAGTTTTCCCAATGTTTATCTGATATTAGACTATAACCCTTGAAATTGTATATCATACCACTTTCGAATCAAAACATTTTCTTCGGAAGTTTCAGCGTAAATCAGAGTTTTCTGGTGCAATTCCCTCAATGGTTATTTCTGGACATCTGGTGGTCAACTATCGATCTACTCACTTGAATACATCAGAAATAGAGAGTGTTCTGAACCAATGATATAAATTCAAACAAAGTATAATGACCTCTCTCTTAGTACTTGTAAAAGGAGGTATTTGGTTATAAAAGTGTTTCAGACACCTGAATGAAACTGTTGTAGGCCGAGGCCGTCTTTTGTTCGAATGGTAGAATTGTTTAAATGTCACGATTATTCTGAAGGTTTCAATTTCTTCGTAAACTAAAATTATAACTACTTGTTCTGCTTCAAAAGCGGCTCCTATATATAGTATTATTTTATTGACATACAGTGAAACTTTTATGTACGTCCTGAGCTTTGCTTTTAATTCATTCACCATGCTACCGTCGGATGATAAGTCTGCCAATCAAATTTATGTACGAAAGACGTGCGGCAGTTTAGCCAGTGAGAATAGTCATTGCAAAAAAGACTTCGAAAGTAAGTAATCATGACTAAATTCAGATTAAGTAGCTCTAAAATGAGAATTATTTTCAGAATTCATAACGTCAAACCGTAATAATGATGATGATGAAAACAATTACTGACTAGTTTTGGCTAGTGTGAACGAAGAATTATTTAATGAGGCACGTTTTGATTTGTGAAACTATTTTCTTTTATTGACTTTTTCATATTATACGAATCTTTTCTACACGTCAGAATGCTTTTCTAAATTCACACATCAAGTGAGTGGAATTCCAGGCAAAATTGTCTTTAGCACACTCACGGTAAGGTGAATGATGAGTACTGATATATTGATCTTTTTACTCCACTTACTAGGAAATGTGCATATTTAAATATTCAGAAGTTTATATGTTTAATAAATCCCTCTAGTGATTGATACTGGAAGTGAACTGACTGTGAGGTTTCGTGATCTAAAAATAATAGTGATTTCATATCTAATTCCCCAGATACAACTGAGAATGATGATTGCTAACCGAAGACGCTCACCTGCTTATTGAAAGATAATTTGTTGAATTGACGAAGCAAAAACTACGCTTCTGAAATTATATTAATATGCATGAGTCTATTTGAAAAGTATTACCAAAACTAGAAGACTAAACTAAATTCACTTCAGTCGTCTGCTAGAGTGAAAGAAGCGTTTTCCTAATTAATAACACTGAAGTACTTGATATACGTGACAGATTTACACAAAATTGTTGTTTGTATTCAAAATCCATTTGTCCAGTTAGTAAGGTAATATATCTGGGGAAATATTTCTGATGTATTTAGAATTTGTGATTACATGTTTGCCCTCATTCAGTTTTCGTGATTCATTTGTCTTATAAAAGATACTCGTGCTTGTAGGTATCATTTTCTAAATTCCCAAAGCCATTCAATGGTATGAGTTGAATTGTCCTATTTAACTCGCACTTGACTAGGCGAACACAAGTACTGATATATATATATATATATATATATATATATATATATTACAATGAAATGTGTTACAGTTTTATTAACTTCATCTAGTGTTAGATACTGCTGGGTTTTGCTGATCTCAGAATAACAGAATAACGTGAAGAAATAAACCCTATAAAATCTTAATACTTCGAGGGATGTATACACTATTCTAGTTTTCTCATCGTGACCTTGTTTACTTGGTGTGAATTTCGTAGAACGGCAAGAGGACTGTGATTACATTCACAGTTGCATGAAAATTCAGACAAGCAACATACCTAATGTATTTGAACTCTGTGAATACATTCATAGTTTGGGATCAGAAGTAAAAATAAATGGTGATTGGGAACACAATCAGCTTAGCTGTTACTGAGTCATGATTTGGTTAAGTTCATCATATATACATTGAAAATTGCACTGTTGACGTTTACCAAGGGTGAATATCGAGTTGGAGCATAGTGTAGTATGTATCTTTACAATTAAATCGTAATTATTTTCATCATCTACTTGACCTGCTGAACAGGAAAATTTGTATCACATTTCAACAGAGGTAACGAGGTTAAATATGTGTTGGACTATTTCAACAAAGTAACAACGGATATATTTGGAGAATTGAAGGAGGTCACTGCAATTCACATATTTTCTTCATCTGCCAACTATATGAAAATGTGTTTAGTAACTGTAAGTGGAAATGCAAATACATAAGATGAGAATTACTTCAACATAGGAAGCATTTAGGGAGAACTTGATTCCGCATGTATACAGGAAGGAATGAGAAGAGAGTATCTAACAGATTTTTTGAGCGTATCTTAAAAAGTCTTTATATGAAAAGATGAGTGTTTGTAGGTTCAATTTGAGATTAAAGTGCTTGGGAATATTCCGGTCAAAATGTCTTTAGCATGAATCTTCATAGGTTAATATTTGACCTTTTTTGCCAAAAACTGCTTTTCGAACGTTCAACAAAAATGCATACCTTGATTGCTGTTCTTCCAACACGTAAAGATTTCAGAAGGAAATAAAGGGAATGACCAGATTCTCAATATCCACTTCTGGAATAGTTTTAACGAAAAACATACATTAATGAAAAAAGCAAAAGATTAGGTGATATGGACAGAAATTTGGTATGATGGCTTATGCGAAATTAGCAATTACCCATATTTGAATGGAAGTCAGAGACAAAAGAATTACAGAGGATTTTGATGGCCACTGTGGGCTGTTAATAAAGTGAAATTTTAGTTGCTACTGATTTCAGTACTTTTCAAATAACCCATTCATGGCAAATGTCGTTAGGTCACTCGTTAAAGTCAATAATCTACCTCACAATATATCCATCAGAATGTATAATAGATTCTTACACTTCAAATCCTTTCAAATATCCAGTTACGTCTCATAGCTGCAATCTGCACCAATGTCTATTTTGAAATAGTTTCCAATACAGTGCTGTGAGCTTTTCTAGACAAATAGAGAAAGTGATTCTGGGGTATTTGTGCGTGCTTCAGATGGAAGCATATTAAATTAGTGAAAATAATAATGATGGCAGGTTTATTGTGGACAGATGTTGACTAAGTGTACAGAATTGTCAGAGTAATTTATCTCACAATATTTTTCTCTCCTCATCTGGGGTCTTCAAATAAAATTGATAATTTATAGCATATCATATGATACAATGGTATTCGATTTGAAGAATAGATCCATCTCCTATAATATATTTCCTTCATTTTCGCGAAATGCTTTCCAGTTTATTGAAGGCCAGTTGGAAATATACATGAGTATACTTTGCAACTGAAGGATATAATAGAATGGGTAGAGGAAATAGGAATTAGATAAAATATGATGCACTGTGTTGGATGGAATTCAGGTAACCTAGTGATTCAAGCAGGCCACCTTCTGTAGTGTTAAACAAAGCATTACCAAACATTTCAATCGCGGTTTCAGGACAAGGAATTTAGTGCCTTGTGATAAAACTTATCTGGCCTATGAAATCATGATTGAAACATATAAATTGTTTTTCCTCGTTACCTTCTTCTGTATCGAGTTTCACTTCGCGTAACTGCCATACACTTCTAAAGTATTCCTCGTTGACAGCTTCCATAAATACCACACTTATTGATGCTATTTGTTTGTATTTGTTCAACTAGACGTCACTGATGTGATTTGTTTTCCTAATGCAGAAGAGTATAGTTAATTCCATCCATTTTATAAAATACATTTGTAGAACTTTTGGGGTAATTCGTGTCATACGTTGATTACTCCAGATGAAACGTACCAAAATGTACGAAGGGAAATATGTGGACTGACAAACCAACTCATACTACATGTTTATCTTAGTCCCGAAATTGTTATATATGTGCATTCTGTGCTGAGTTAAAATATATGAAATAGATACAGGTAGATAGCATTTAAAAGTAAACCAGATTATCCAACCGAAGAAGTTTTCCAGCAAAACCTGTCGCTTGAATAATCCTCTGTGATCACTTCGCAATACTCAACTTGTGATTGACTGTAATAATTTAATCAACTCAAGAGACAAAACGAGTGAAATGTGTGAGTTGAATTTCAAGAAATAACCATTCATGAACGTATCTGTCTTGAAAATGTAGCAGGAGTTGTGATTATGAGAGCCACATAATTAAGCAAAATGATTATGGTGATTGAAAACACAATTGACTTAGGTGTTACTCAGTCATTTTCTGATGGAGTTCATCACATAAAGATGGTAAAGTATATTGTTGACGTTTACCAAGGGTAAATACCAGGTTGTGTATATCGTGGAAAATGTATGATTACAATTAAAGCGTAATGCATCTTTTTACATCATGTTACTTATTTTCACCATCTACTTGACCTGCTGAACAGGAAAGTGTGCATCACATTTCAAAAGAGGCAACGAGGTTATAAATGTGTGTTGGACTATTTTAACAAAGTAACAGTGGATATATTTGGAGAATTGAAGGATGACACTGCAATTCACAGATTTTCTCCAAATGTCAACAGCCTAAAAATTGTAAGTTATTATTTCGTTTTTTATATTTAGGAAGAACTTGATTCCACAAGTACACTGGAGGAAATGAGGAGGGTTCGTCGACCAGATTTTATGAGAATATCGTAAGAAGTCTATGCATGAAAAGAAGGAAGAGTCTTGTAGGTTCAGTTTGAGATTTAAGTACTTGGAAATTTTCTTGTCAAGGTGTCTTTAGCATGAATTTCCAATAATTAATATTTTACTGTTTTAAGATTTGATAGTATGAAATATTCCTATATTATGAATTAAAAGTCAATCTGAACGAAGAATATTCTTTTCAATAATTTCTCTTCAGGTTCTTACAATTATAAAATATAATATTTGTGGTCATTACAATAAAGGCCAGTCATGCGGCGGATACATTTTAAACGTAGAATAACAGATTAATTATGGTGTGTCAAAATAAATAGCCGTATTTGTGTGACAAACGTGCTAGGCTGAAATTGATTAGCAAATATTGTAAAACGGGAGACAATGGTGCTGATTAATCATAATAGAATTGTAGAGTGTGGGGTAGGAAAATTGACAAATCAGTTCAAGGTTATAAAAGGTGTCAGGTGAGTGGCTAGTACAAAGTGGTCTGTCTTAAACAGGGGATAGTAAGACAGCAATGAGAGGTTCATAATGAGATAACGAATATGTTAAATGAAACAGGTGGAGGCATATATTGAGAAAACAGGTAATATCACTAATAATAAGTTAGTATAAATGAAAATTCGATAGTATAGAGGGAATGTTTGCATAAAGGGCATAAGTTATGACGAATAATAATAACTGTAATAATAGTATTTATAATGAAGAAGAGCTAAGGTTAGGTAAGACATCTTTGAGTTGCTGGGTGAACATTGGACGGCTAGTGAAGAATAGACACAGACGTGCAGAGTAGAAAGTTTTCTTGATCGCCCTGGTTAAACGTTGTGATAGAATCTCCGCAGGAGTATCTCCCTTGAATTGGAGACATGAAAACAAAGGCTTTTTCTCCACCGTTGCTAGTTCATGATTACGACTATTGTAAACTATGTTGGCTTTAATGAACTTCTCTGGATATCCGTTATCGCTTAGAATGTCTCAGAGTACCTCGAGTTCTTTCTTTACTCAGTCTTCGGAACAAATAGACCTCGCTGTAAATGCTAGGCACCTGATTAGATAACGTTTGTATTTCATCGGTACGAAGCTAAGGAAGTGTGTAAACTGAGCTTTGGTCTCTAGCTTTCTAAATATGGTTCTTTTGATGGAATCATCCTCTCTTCTCGTTAGTAGGACGTGGAGGAAGTGTAGAGAGTCGTTGTATTCTCCTTCGTAGGTGAAATGGACCACTAGGTGAGCATTATTGAAGTTGTTCAAAATCAAATCACTATTTAACCCTTCATCGTACACTACAAAAGTGTCATCCATGTAACGACAATACATTTCCATTTTCGCTATTTCCTCTTTCAACGGACTATTTTCTAGTTTTGCTGGAAATATATTCGCGAAAATAGGTCCTAGTGGGGATCCCATGGCTACTCCATCAACCTGTCGGTATATTTCATTATTAAATAGGAACTGAACATTCGTTGTACATTTAACAAGTAGTTGTTTTAGATTACTGATAGGAATATCAGTGCACAATTTTTTTTCTATAATCTGTTCGCAGATATAATCGACGGTTTCCACTTGAGGCACATTAGTGAATAGAGACGAAACATCAAGTGATGCCAGTCGCGTTCAACTTTTTGATCTTATCAACAAATTGAAAGGTATCCTTGACGTTGTGCTTAGCTAACTCGTCATGCAAGGGTTGAATTAGCTGTACCAGCCACTTTGCCGTCTCGTGATAGGTTGAAAGGGACATGTCTAGTATGGGGCGTAGGGGCACTCCTGATTTATGCACTTTCGATAGACCATACATGTGTGAGATGGTGCTCCCTGTAGGTTTTTTGTTTTCGACATTTTTGGAGACATATACCCTTTACCCTTTCAAATCCTTTAATAAGTTTGTTATTTCTCTCTCTATTTTCTCCGTATGAACTTTGATTGCTTTTGGTTTCTGAAACTTGCTTTCGTCAGCTGGTATGGAGTTTATCTTATTGATGTAGTCCTGCCCATCCATACTTACTATCCCCGGTCCCTTATCCGGTATGCTAATAACTATGTTTTCATTTTGTCTTAGTCTTTTGACAGCTTCTCGGTGCTGTTTTGTGAGCATAATATGGGGCTTATTCTTATTCTTCTGTCTATACTGATAGCAACAGTCTACCAGGGTTGTTTTGAATCTTTCAAACCGTTAAAAGTGAACTTGGTTTGGACATATATACTTTCTAGGTCTTCATCAGAAGAGGCGATCAGGTCCCCTATTGGTATATAGAAGTTCTCGAATTGTACATCAGTGTCAATCTGACTAATCTCCGTACGAATATCGTAAAACTTAGGTCCTAGAGATATCGCTTCAAGTTGTAGTTTGTCAAGAGTTACACTAGAAAAGTTATGGACGTACCTTTCTGGATTAGCAGGAAATCTACATTCAGGAGTTCGGCTTTCTAAGCCTTTTATCAGTTGTGTTCTTTCTTTCGAGGAATTAGATTCGGCGATTTCGTCGACACATTGCATAAATTGTAGTCTCATATCCTCTGGATGGTCGAGAAGTTCATAATTCGTCTGTGATATATTTAATTCCAATTGTGTAATGTCAGACTGTAAGTTCATGTCGTTTTAAAGCCATTTTACTTTGTGGTATTCTGTTTCTACGTAATGATCTCCAATAGAGTTTAGGATATCGAAAAAAGTGTGAATTATAAACGTTCAACACAAATGCATAATTTGATTACTTTCGTCCCAAACGGTAAAGTTTTCAGAAGAAGGTAAATAAACTGATCAGGTTCTCACCATCGACTTCCGGATGCGATTTAACGAAAAACACACATTAGTGAAACAATGCTAAAGACTAGCTAACATATGCTGACATTTTGGAATGATGACTTATGCACAATAGGCGAATACATTCATATTATCATTTAATGAACTAGATTTATCTACAAAAGAGAAACAAATAATCTAATCATTTTGAGTAGTCACTGTTGATGACAGACACTGATCAGCTCGTCGGGAAAATGAAAGACAGTATAGTGAACTATCAAAGTAAAAATAATGGCACTGAAACGATATAGATAGTTGTGTGCTAGTGTGAAAACGAGTACTTAATTGAGGCAACTGAAATAAATTCAAGATAGCCTGCACTAAAATGAGAAATATGTTCCTAATTATTAATACTAGATGCTTCGAAATAGGCATCAAGTTAACACAGATTTATTGCTTCGATCCACTTTACTTTTATTCAGCTGAGGAGATGATGACAATTACTAATTGTTGTTGATTAATATATAAAAAAGGTCTATTAAGTGAGACACGTTTTTATTTTGACCATCCATTACGTTTACTGGTTTATTTGATTTAAACGGACCATTTGTACATCTTAGAATAACTCTGAATGGAATTTTTCGCATTATTCTGTTTGACATTTGACTACTAAAGCATTTAATCCTACGATTGAGGATCATGGGTATTGTGAGGTATATTCTTGCATATTGTAACGCACGCCACGACAGATATATCATCCGTTTAAAAAATTGATAAAACATTTCTGAAACAATCAAACGTAACCTATGATGTGATTAAAGAATTCCTCAAAGCTAGTAATACAAAATCACACAAGATTCACTCTACCTGAGAAATTTCAAATTGTAACTGACTTCTATCTATTCAAGTATATTGAGACAGAAGTGCTGCAATTTTCTTGTATAATATGTTATATCATCACTGTAAACCTATCCCAAATTTGTGACAGAGGTATGTAGATAACACATTTATGGCGTTAAAAACAGAATATCTCTTCGTGGTGTCTTCACACATAAAAATTCAGTAGTAAAGAGAATTACAACGCATCTCAAAAGGTACTCAGACTTTAAGTCATCTCATACGTTGTCCATGAAGGCTGTCTTATTAATGTATCTAGGAAACTGGTCGGTTTCAGCTTCTGATTAGTTGTAATATATACATGATACATTACTGACAAATAATTTATTTCATTACTCTACAGAAATTCTTTAAGTTATTACTACTTTATTCTTACTCACACTTAATACAAACACGTACAAATTTTCATTTTAGAACTAATTAACTATGTATCGTCGTTTTAACATTTACAGGTAATCAGAGAGATGAAAAAGCCCGAAATTCCCTATTGAAACATGAATTTGAAGATTTATTCTGTAAAACGTCTGACATTTTTTTTCAAATAAAAAAATGAAACTTGTTTTTCATTTCAACAGACTTTGAACTATTGTATTTTCAATGGCAGCTGAGAATTATTACAAAGGGTGTTTATCATCAGCAGTTTTTGTATGAAACTTTGAAAATGTAAATGTTGGACTTTGAGTGTTTATATTTGATCTGAAAAGATATTTTTAATCATTCAAAAGATAACAAATATGCAATTTATTATACACTAAAAATTTAAACAAAATTAGCTATTTCTAATCAAGCATGGCATATATTACCATAGTGTTTTACTTGTGGAAGAACAGCTTGATGAAATTAGCACTACTGAGTACAATATACTTGTTCGTGTCATTTGACTTGGGCACATCTGATTTGGCTTCAAGGCTTCCCTGATATAAAGTGTGCATGAAGATGATGTTCAGGATGTGGGGAGTACAAAAGTTTGTAAAGTCTATCCATATTCTCTTTGAGAATTATCAGCTATCTTTCAAGTGACAGTGAAAGGGAAACGAAATCACAGTTTCCTGACTTTTATGATATTTATCGATGAACTTTGGTAATCAGAAATATAGATGAAGAAATCGAATAAGGTATAAGGTATCATCCGTTTAGAATGACTTTCTGTTAGTTTATGGCCACAGTCATTCTATGCATATATGTTCACTAATGTTGACACAGTCTTCGTAAATCGAAGATATTGAAAATAAGAATAATGAATATTATAAACTGCGGAAAATAATGACATCTATGTAATAAAAGTACAGTTGTGTATTCGTTCTGAATGCACATCATGTCAGCAAAATGTGAACAACACTTACTTTGACGCTGTTTTGATGAATTCAACTCTCGAAATCGAATTACTGCTGAAAAAGGAGGTAACACCTTTTATGATATTGACGAATTTCATAGGCCTGAAAAATAAGTGCTTTATCTCAAGTTGAAATGTCTGCTACTTGTTTAGATGCACTGACGCTGTCTCGTCATGTAACTTGAAGTCGACTGTAATACTATCACTCACTGGGGAATGCAAGTACATACAGATGAACAGTCCCGAATGGGAAGAAATGTGCATCCTGGATTCCACTGCTAATCACCATCCACGAATTGAATGAAAAATACCTGTTGAAGAGATTGCACTAATAAATACTCCTTCAGTTTCGAAATTCGAAATTAATTATTCAATGCAGTCCTGCTTATCTATATTTGTTTGAGTGAACTGAGGACTGATTCAAATGTTCAAAAAGATCAGTTAGCTCTTTTGGTAATTTTTTACTGTAAAAACGGATTGATCAGCAGCTTTCCTCTTAGTCGTATTTTCATGTCAGTAAAACGTCTGAGCATTGTGGAATAGATCAAATATTACCAATAACAAAACTTTTCATTGTGTGTAATCCATTGAAATATAATTACACTTTATCTGTTGTATTTTCAGTTGTATCAAATCACAGAATCCTAAAATAAATTTCAGTAATGATCATTTGAAACTGCCAGCGGAATTGAAGATTAAATACGATTCCACAGCACTGAAACATATCAAATTACCGCCCTTTAGAGGCTTACGATTTACGTGAACACGTTCCACTCATCGTTATTGATGTGAAGAGTTCGATCGACGAAGAATATTCCACTGCAGCAGTAACTTGTTATTTTCTCATTATTGCTTTAGAAAACTAGACATAACTGACATACTGGTATACAGCAGTTGGATCAGCCATTCACTGTACTGCTCAACATGCTAACACATATGCATGATAAAATGACATCGAAGTAAATTTCACTATAGTTTCTCCAATGATTTAACAACTTATCAGGCAGCAAAATAAGTGAACAAATATTAAGAACATAGTCATATATTTAGTGGGTTTGTTGTAATAACAGAACAGACCAGATCAGCAAATACGTATTTACATTTTCCTGTATTACTGAGTCTCTTTTTTAAAGCGACTGGAAAATGTTTCTCAGCGTAGTGTCATTCATTTTAGTTTCTGATTTGTAAACTAATTCAGAAAGCCAAAATTCACTCAGAGTCTCTTTGAAACATCAAAAGACTGAAGTATTCAATACAGATTTGATATTTGCATATTTGTGAATCAGTTTCATCCTTTCAAATAATTTATGCGTTAGGCCTATAAAAGTGTCACTTCTCCTCATTTGAACTCTTGCATAAGTAATATATAAACGGGGATGAAACAAGTGGCTTCGGTTCATTCCTATCAAAATGTAGGTGTAGTTATATTTCGTTTGTTTAATTTAAAAATGAATTTCTGTTCTCGAATGCGATCCGGAGTCGCTAAAACGTTTAATTTCATGCAGATGCAATTACACCTTGTAAACAAATTATATTCACTTAACAACTTCTGCACACACTGTGTTTATTTTTTATTACAGCTTGACCCCCACACCGTACTTTTGGTAGAAGTATGGAGTTTTCAGCGTGGATATCGGTAGCCCGAATTTCGCAGGCCGACCATAGATATCAAGTGTGCGTCGGCGAGGGCTCGAACCCCGGGCCATGTGCATGGTCAGCGAGAGTCCTAACCACTGTGCCACCGACGCATATACATGTTTCCACTGTCTGCTTTAGTTTTGAACGGCAATCAGCTAACTCACCTTGGATAAAATAAATCTAATTGAGAAAAAGTATAATTAAGATTCCAGTGAATAACTGAAACATTTGTGTGGAGCATTTCAAAGGGATCTGCAATTAACGGGTTTACTGAGGTATTTCACCTCGATGTGACATTGAATTTAGTGAGATAGAACATTATTTGTTTAAACGGGAAAGTGACGTATTTCGGTTCATTTTTTTGATGAACGGTAAACTACACAAAGCATAGGTATACTTCATCAAGCTTTTGAATTGGGGTAATCCAATAGACGTGCATTAGGAATTCAGTAGTAGAGTGCTCTCCAAATATGCACGTGGTCTGGCATTCTATCCCCAACCAACGAACTTCCAAGCCTTTCAATGAATTTGAAAAACACTGAAAATAAATAGCTTTCTTTTTATCATCTCTTCACTTCTTTGCTTTGTTAAGAAATTATTTCACTCTTATTTCAAATATGCAAAAATAATTAGATAATTCTTCCCTTAGATAATGGCCATGAAACCAAACACTTTTTGTTGTTTTGTCATGAAATCTCTACTTTCCTCTTGTTGACACGACTGCAGGATGTTGAAATGCTACACACACTCATAGGACCATGTCGTTGTTACTTCCATATTTTGACTGTCATCTTGCCCCAGATCTACTGTTTCAGTGAGTGAAGAAATGTGAATCATCTCTCAAAGCTGAATGAATCATGTTGTATTATCTATATAAACGAGTCTGTTAGGTACTGTCATTTTTCCAATACGAGTAGTAAACAAGGAAATCGATGATGATAGCCTCAAGAATTATTTCATCTTCTTTATATCTAAGTGACTAACAAACTTAAACTTCAGAAACGATTGTTGTTTAGTTCTTGAGATCAGTCTACTAGAAGTCGTGACAGTCATTAACTATTCGCACCTGCAGGCAATTAGCATTATGGAATGGTAACGTTACTGAGTCGCAACCAGCGTTATGCATCTAGTTCGTATTGCAGTTGACTGATTTCTGTTAGTCAAAAGACATTACTACTTCACGAGCTAGCAGGTGTAAGGAATCAAGGTTCACAGCTTCGTGCTGATCACTTCAAGACATCTTATAATATTCATAGGGAATGGTAGGTATTTTAGGCTGTTAAGCGCATAGAGAACTTCTCTAAAAGAACTCAATCCGCAAAACTAAGAAATGTCACTGACCAGTCTATGTCTATTTTGATATTGTGTGGTATGTTACTGAACTTATGAAAAAGACAAGAGAGTTATTTGATATTGATATAGCTGCAAATTTCATCCATGAACGAAAAGTAAAACTGCTCACGGAACTTCAAAATCACTCGGAATTTCATCATGAATAAAAGATTGTTGACAGACATCACTAAGAATTAACAGCCACTGAAGTGTTTTTAGCCAATAAGCGATACTTATTTAAATCTATTTACAACCATTTTAAGTTACATGGATATGTTTAGATGAATTTCTGTAATGAGGCTATCGAACAAAGTGTCATTCGTATAGTACACAATTATGAATCGTTGAATCCAATGAAATATGTCTCAATGGTAACGTGTGACGACTGCCTAGACAATTAACTAGACTGGTAAATTAACTAAGTGAGCATTGCACTGAAATACACAGCACTTTGTTGTGTCTCGTGTAAACAAATTTAAGCTCACGACTTATCTCTGCTTGCATTGAAACTTCATCGTTGTGTAGAATTTAAGGTGGGTCACTTTCAGTTTGCATTGATTTCATGTCGTATTTATTATTACTATTTATTTTTTGCTTTTTGAGCCGAACAGTAATTCGTTTCCATTGCATTTAGTCCTCTTTCATCAGTGACAACGAGTTTTACGACGGCGCACAATCTTCATTTCTTTTCCACACTATCTTCTGTATGTCACTCTTGGAGGTTGATTCTATCACTTTCCATTTCAGTTACAACAATCGGAGTTGACAAAGATGTCACATGAATGTCTCTTCAACGTCTTTACAAATCCTTTCCTGGTGCCACAGTAGACAAGAATTTAGACCTCACTTAATTTACCACCCTATCCCAAGTTCAGAAAAGAGGAAGGATTGTGGGTGGAACAAGCAACCATACTCCACAAAAAGCAGCCTCAGCGCTATTGAAACTTCAAAGTACATGCTGGGATCAAGGGGACTGATGATTTTGAGCACGGATGATACTGTCGATCTAGTTGACTAGATTTTTTAATTCAACAAGAAAAATTACATTACATTGGGTTCACTAATTTCGGCACTACTCACATTGCCATATTTCTTGCTTGTCAAGGTTTTGGCAATCTATTGTGTATACAATTCATTATTCATCAAATAGTTGCAAAAAAAGTAGTAATTGTTTGAATTTTCCTCTCTTTATCGTCTTAAAATATGATTCTTGAAATAACACGTGTTATGTACTAGTTAGTTATTACGTTCTAATATTATTTAAGTGGTTTGAATTAATAAACCTCTCATTGCCATTCATATTGAAAGCACTACAGGTGTTGATGCCAGTGAATTCCATATAGGCATATCAAAGGACAGCATATCATCTGTGTTATTCAACTCTTAACTTCCTCATTTTTGGTTGCCAATCATTGTGTGGAAGAGATTCGAAAATAAATATTGTGTTACTTTTCGTTTAACTTTATCTCCGACTTGTTTTCAGCATTATGGTAGAAATAAGTTCCACTCAAAACTTTTATAAGCATACTAACTTCCTCGTGGCATTTTTCATTGTACAACACTAATTATCGAATCATTTTCATATTTTTAGCTGTTCAAGTCCCCAGAGTGGTTATTGGAAAAGAAGCTTCTCTATTATTGTATATACAAATGAGCTCAATCAAGTCTATCATAAGGGTAATTTGAAAAGCTGATAACACTGTCTCTTCATCAGGTATTACTACTGACATTTATTCAAATAGCAGAATTTGTTGGTTTCATACTCTTTTTGCATTTGTATGTATTCATTTGAATAAGAAACATTTTTAAATAAAGGTTTCCAAATTACAGAGAGTCGTTCACAGCATATAAATATACAGGATATGTGCTAATGTAAGTATTATTCCATTATTTGGAATGTTTTAAATGATGATTAGAAAATGACTTTTACGTCCCACAAACTACATGTACTGCTGGGACATCTAAATTCAGTACATACTAAATTCTAGTCAACTCTGTACTAAAAGAATGTTGACGGCTTTCTGTTGCGTGTACCATTTAGCGGTATAAATAAAAGGATAAAGATGTGTTAGAGGGTCAGCATAAAAGCTATCTCAAAATGTGCAAACGTTTATTGCGGACAACATCATAGTAGATATTAAAATTGTGTAAAAATTGATGAAATACCTCTGAAATAATAAACGATAACATCTGAAATGCTTTCAACATTCCTTCTGATAGGCAGTAAAATTTCAAGGCAGACTTACTAACTGAGGAAAAACAAATTGTAACTCACCTCAGTTCAAGTACTTACAGGCTTGTTTTGTAACAACTCATGTCTTAACTCACTATGAGCGTTAGCGATTTTTGCGTCTCTTCGATGGTTCGTGTGATCGACAGATAATGAAGTAAAAACTTCGTGAATAAGTGGTTGTTATATGATGAGTGTTTGGAAGGGTACTGAAACACTATTTTACGATTTATAAATTGCAGCATTGGATATGTTTTTGCAAAGCTTCATTTCATTTCAAGTACGTATCATAGAATAGAATAACGTCTTAATCCATTTTCAAAGATTAACGAAATCTGCCAAAGGGAAGCACCTGGAAAAAGGAAATTCTGAAGAAGTCGCATTTAATCTATTTAGAATTGTTGACGAATCTGAATTGTCTACCTAAGTAAATTATTTTCTGGGATGATATAATACCGTGCTTTGTTAATATGGTATTTATTAATCTGCAGCACTCTGATCACGCCTAATCGTATCTCAATTACATTAGTTCACTTTGTTACAAGAAACTACTTGTTGCTTCCATCTCACTTGTAAGCAAGTGACATTTAGTTTAATTTGCATCTCATTTTTGCACAATATTTAGTCAAATACTGTGATTTCTACAAAAACATTTTCTTTTTATTCGTTCATCCATCACAGTGGTTTAGCCTATCTTTTAACACTATCGTTCGTTTTCTCAATGAAACTTTATGGAACATTTCCCGTTAATACCGTTTTACTGATAATAAATGTGAGTGATTTAGTTGTAGAACAATATCCACTTACTGAAAAATGTCTGTTTGAATTTATTTTGTTTGTAAGTATTAGCTGCTATTCATGGAAATGACATGGAAGGCAGATGTGATCTTCAACGAATTGTTGTTTTCTAAGAAATAGTTTGAACCACTATGAAATAATAACTTGATATTGTATCAGCATGTCATGTTCAGAACATAAGCAAGAGAGAAATGTTGACGAATATCAGTGTCTTGAGTGAATGATTTTTGTGTTGTTGAGTTGACGTGACCTGGATGGATTAATTGTGACGCGTTCATCTTATTTCTAGACGACATATTCAGTAATGACGTAAAACATGTAGTGGACTTTTAGAACTTTACAATAATGAAAAATCCATCTCTTCTGAAAACATTTTACGTGATGGTTTATCATTGGAGATTTGCTGATACCCTTATTAACTACTAATAGTAATGATAAAATTGTTTACCTAATATTTGACTTTTATCAGTTTTCAAGTATTGGTTTTGTAGGGATTTTGTTTGATTGTTAGGAGGATTTCATCATGAGCTGACATCAGTTAGAGAACCATTGGAAAACCTGATTGTACTGAACAGCTGTTTCTCCCTACATCAGTGTCCAATTGTTACTTCTTTTCCATTGCTTGATAAATGAGGTTGATATTGGTGTCTGTTAATACAAACACAAATTGAGAGGGGTGTGAGAAAATGTTGGAGGACAACAAGTCGATTACGAATATAACAGGAGGGATGGCTTTCACATTCATAGACAGTTTTCCAATCTTACTTCGTCCTGTATCGCAACTACAATGTAGAACTAAACACCTATCATTATGACTATGAAGACGTTAGTATTGAAGATGTTATCCAGAAATTTAATAAGTCTTGAAGTATTGGAATTGTGGTTCATGAATACATTAATTTTATGCACCTGCGTATAACACATACAATAATAACATCAACTGAAATAAAATTTATAAACCTGTCGATTATTAAAACGTTTCCACTTGTATTGTTTTCTTATAGGCAGCTTTGATAAGCGTTGGTTTCGGACTACTTATGTATATCAAAGATTTTAAATGGACCTGTATAATTCTAGCAGGTGATTTAGTTATCGTGTGTCTATTTCTCGTTATCGGCAGCACAACAAACTTTCTCAGTCCAACTTTAATGTATATTCTAACAGTTTTGTTGGCGATTGCAGTCGTAGCATTTTCAGTCATTGCTGCAACGGGGAAGATTCCATGGGTAAGTTTGGGTGGTTACTCTGTTTCTATCAGGTATTGAATGCTAGGTGGGGACAGGTATATTTACGGCGTTTGTTACTTAGCATTCAACACAAAATTTCCATAAGAGTCACTGGTAAACTTCTCACCGATGATACAAAGTGTATTACATGAACAGAAGGGAAGACAGGGTGTCTACATGACAGCTGCAGCATTCATTTAATGTCAAACACCAGTCTATTTAAAAATTGTCGTGTTCACATTTAGAAGAAACAACATATTCGGGGGAGAAATATAATCCTTTTTATTCACTTATCCATTAATGACTCTAAACAATTATAAGACATTGTTTAATACTAAAATTCTGCCATCCATGTGTCAATGTGACAGGCCACAGGAATTATCTATCTGAAGATATAGTAGAGGTGAGAATAATTCATTGTCTAAATCATGAGAGTTGGTTTGATTGTTTCTTAGAGAGCAAGCCGATGAACGAATAATTTGAGAGAAGGTAAGTGGAAGAAGATTTTGACGGTCTGTCATCCAGAAAATCGTTTTGTTAAACGCCAGTAGGAGGCTCACGTGCACACTGCCTAGTAGTGCGGAACATGAACAAAATAGCTATCTATTAATACCTGGTCTTCATTGTTCAATCAACTGATATTATTCCGAGACCAAACTCTAAATGCTTTTGTGCTTTATGATACACTTTATAATGAAGTGAATGTGGTAACAAGCCAGCTCATTCAGGAGAACGAGGAGGAACTTAGTTAAGCGTCTGTATAATAGCGAAAGTTAGCCTGTTGAAAAACCTAGCCAGATTACTAGCTTGCTAGTTTTGTAGCCGGTCCCAAGCTCGGATAAAGAGGGAGGGTTGGGGCGTGGTGCTAGCAAATCCACCCCCGTAAAACAACCAAATCGCTACAGAAACTTCAACGAATAAATATATTAAAAATTCTAAAAACATAAGCAATAGCCTTACTTTTCGCTGGAATCGGGGAAGTGAAATGACGCAGGCTGGTGAAAGCCTTCGGGAAGCCAGTCAGCCGATGTGCCTTCTTTCGATGAAAGCAAAAGTAAGGATGGGTACCTGGAATGTTCGTACAATGTACGAAACTGGAAAGGCTGCCCAGATAGCCGCTGAAATGAGAAGGTACAGAATAGAAGTGTTGGGAATCTGCGAAGCAGATGGAACGGAACTGGAAGGTGCCAACTACCTACTGGAGAGACAGTAATCTATTCCGGCCACCCAGAGGACAACCATGAGCACACCGAGGGAGTGGCCATCATGATGTCACCAACAGCAGCCAAAGCTCTCATGCAGTGGGAACCAATCTCCTCCAGGATAATGACAGCCAGGTTCAACTCAAAAGGAAGGAAAGTTACAGTCATTCAATGCTATGCGCCTACAAACGTCTCAGAACAAGAGAAGAAGGAGGCGTTCTACAGACAACTACAAGCAATAATGGACAACGTCCCAAATGGCGATATCAAAATCCTGATGGGCGACATGAATGCGAAGCTGGGAGGAGACAACACAGGAAGAGAACTCACCATGGGTCGTGAGGCCCTCGGTGAAATGAACGACAATGGTGAACTCTTCTCAGACTTCTGCGCCTTCAATGATTTGGTGATTGGTGGCAGTGTTTTCAAACACAAGGATATACACAAGACGACATGGATTTCACCAGATGGAAACACCAAAACCAAATAGACTTCATCTCAATTTCAAGAAAGTGGAGACGGAGCCTACTGGACACAAGGTCAAGGAGAGGAGCAGATGTGGGTTCAGACCACTATCTAGTAGAAGGGACTTTCAAGGTGAAACTAAAAGCCTCGAGGATAGCTGGGATAGGCCACAATGCAAGTTCAACACTCAATTACTGAAGGACACAACCACAAAAGACACCTTCACTGCAACTGTCAGAGCAAAGCAGGAAACACTACGCGACATCACTGAAGAATCATGCGTGGAAGAACATTGGAAGTCTCTGAAGGCGATTCTCAACGAAACGTGTTCAACGGTTCTAGGAAGAAAGAAGAGACAAGACAAGGAATGGCTCTCAACGGACACTTGGAAATTAATAGAAGAGAGGAGAATGGTGAAAGAGAAAATGATTCAATGCAAGGACGGACAAGAGAAAGAGACGCTGAGCTCAACTTACACAGCACTGGACAAAGAAGTGAAGAAAGTGCTAGGAAGGACAAAAGACGATTCTACGACAACCTCGCCACTGAAGCTGAGAAGGCAGCAGGCAAAAGGGACCTGAGGACACTATATCAGATAACCAAATCTCTATCCGGGAAGAGATCAACACAAGCGAAACCTATAAAAGACAGCCAAGGGAACCCAATTACCAAGGAAGAAAAACAGATTAAACAATGGGCGGATCACTTCAAAGGACTCTTGAACCGACCATCACCTGCAACCCGTCCAGAAATACCAACAACAGCGCGCACACAACTGCAAGTTGACACCAATCCTCCAACGAGAGCTGAAGTCTTGAACGCAATCAAGCTTCTGAAAGCTGGAAAAGCAGCCGGACCAGATGGAATACCCCCTGAAGCACTGAAAGCGGACCCAGAGACTACAGCAGACATGCTGACTCCATTATTGCAAAAGGTCTGGAAGGAGGGAAAGGTGCCTACTGACTGGAGGAAAGGTTACCTCGTGAAACTACCAAAGAAGGGCGACTTAGGACTCTGCAAGAACTGGCGAGGAATCATGCTCCTGTCGACGCCAAGTAAAATCCTGAGTCGCATCATCCTGGAGAGATTAAAGGACGCACTGGAGACAGAACTCCGACCAGAACAAGCTGGATTCAGGAAAGGCAAATCATGTACTGACCAAATTGCAACTCTACGCATCATCATCACAGAACAAAGCATGGAATGGCAATCAAACCTCTACCTCAACTTTATAGACTTTGAGAAGGCCTTCGACAGCGTTGATCGTGAAGTAATTTGGAAATTACTCGAGTACTACGGCGTACCCCAAATATTCATCAACCTTATTCAACAGCTGTACGACAACGGCACATGTCAAGTGATCCACAACGGAAAACTCAGCGAGGCGTTTGGAGTAAACACAGGAGTCAGACAAGGGTGCTTATTATCACCAATGATATTCCTAATTGTGGTGGACTTGGATTATGCGTCAGACAGTGAGTGGGAAACGAGAAGACAGGAATATCCTGGACCGACGCGAAGAACCTAGAAGACCTGGATTTCGCGCGTGGATGATTTATGTTTGATGTCACACAAAATCGAAGACTTACAAGCGAAAACCGACAAACTGGTCGAAGAAGCAGCCGGCGAAGACAGGACTCCATATGAACATAGACAAGACGGAGGTTATGAAAATAACCAACCAACAACAACAGCAGCAACATCCAGCGCCAATCACCATCAACGGGAGGGATTTGAAAGAGGTTACTTCATTCACTTATCTAGGGAGCATTGTCTCAACTACTGGAAGAGGAACGGACGAGGATGTCAAATCGAGAATCGGGAAGGCGAGAAACACATTCATCAACCTGAAATCAATCTGGAAATCTTCGTCACTCAGCATCAACAACAAAATTCGGTTGGATTTTCAATACAAACGTCAAGTCAGTCAGTTCTTCTATACGGATCAGAAACTTGGCGGGTCACAAAGAATATTTCCAACAGCCTGTTGCAGACCTTTATCAACAACTGTCTTCGCTCTATACTGAAGATCAGATGGCCGGGCCGGAAAGAATCACCAACAAGAAACTATGGGAACAAACAAAACAAGAACCAATCGCCAACCAACAAATATGCAGGAGAAAGTGGAGATGGATCGGACACTCGCTGAGGAGACCGCTGGGTGACATCACGCGTCAGGCGATTGCTCGTGGAACCCGAAAGGGAAGCGGCGTGTGGGACGTCCAAGGATGACATGGAGGAGATCGTGTGAAGAGGAGTTGAAAGAGTATGGACTAAGATGGATGCAGGTGAAAAGCACAGCAGAAGACAGAAGCAAATGGAGATGTGCAGTTGAAACTCTATGTTTCACTAGGAACCCAAAGAAGCAATAATAATATCCTGTTGAATATTTTTGTCAATTTCAGCAAATCCTTGCAAATATAGTATATTTTTAGGTGGTTGTAGTACCTTATCTGACTTCGTGTCAGTAGGAAATTTGTGTGCTTGTTCTCTTTGATGGTCGTTCTTTAATTTGGCCAATAGCGCACCGTTTTATGCTACACATTTTAGATACAAAAAAACACTACAAAGACGTTTTCAAGTGTTTTATCAACAAAGTCCGTTGTTTTAACATATAACTAATTCCTCATTTTATATCTTATTCACGGTGGTTATTCTTTCAATGTACCATTTATAATAATCTTTCCGATGTTAACTACAGATCGATGTGAAAGCGGTTTTTTCGTCAATGTTTCTACTTGCAGTCATGGTGAGTAGTTTAATGCGAAGTCTCTCCACGTATAATAACCAATCTAGTGTTTATGATAGACCGTTAAATATATATATATATATATATATATATGTATGTATATATAAGTGAGTCATTTATGGTACAACTTTACTTAGTCTTAAATCTTAAATTCAGTATTTCTAAGTGATGGTTTCCAACAAGATTGTATCACTTTTGTAAGTTTCATAGTTATCCAGTCAAAGAATTGCGTCAGTTTATACATAGATTCCTTTTCAGAATGTAAAGATGAAACGAATTTGACAAACGCATATTTCCTATTTAAACTCTTTAGAAAACTGTCAGATGTCAACATTACCACTGCACACGAAAATAAGAATGTTATCTGGTAGACAAGAAATATGCTATTACTGTTCGTTGTATGAAAATAAGAAATTACTGGATACACTGACACACTGAAGTATCTACCAGAATTTATCAGGTTTTGGAATATATACGTCCCCAGTATATCGCTTACGGTAGTGCTGCACTTCTGAAGTATATTCGTGATTAACCTTCGCGTAATATTCATCAGATTTTATTATTATCCACTGTGTAATTCGGACATCTGTTTACTGAATACACAATATTGAAAGGAGGATAACGAGTGTTGTTTAAGCGTCTTCAAGTGTGAAAATATCAAACATGTTTGTTTCACACTGCTCAAGAATCATGAATTCTTTTACAAAATGTATTGGAAGTACAGCATAATATAGGTCGTTGGATAAATTGTCTCGATGAATGAGACATGGTGAATGTTAGCATAAGCTAAAGTTTATGAGCATCATGGATCAGGATGATCCAAGTTTTTCAGCCTTAATCACCACACATAATCGTCACTCTCAATACAATATCCGGAGGAGGCTGAATGGTATATTTGCTAGTTATAATGACAAACTACGTTCCATTCTCTAGTAGCCTAAATGAAACATGTTTTACTTTTCATTTTCCACTTACAGCTTCTTTTGATCGCAGGTCATGATATGTCTACGGAAGACGAGACATACGCATTGGCAGCTTTGATGATATTCATCGCCTATGTGACGATCTACTTTTCAGCATATTTGCTTACATTGAAATATTTTAAGAAACAGCTACACAGAGTCACAAATAACTTCGCCTAAACTTTGCTCGAGACTTGCTGTTTGCTGCTTTTCGTCTGTGCATGTGACAGTCTACTTGTGTGAAATTGCAATCATTGCTCAGAGACTAACTGGAAACATTCTTTGATTTTGTTTGGTATAAAATATTACACTGTGACATATTAATTCGAATTGAAGTAATTATGATCAGATTTAACATTTCTGTTTTTTTTCTGGCTGAAATGTTATTTTTATTCTTTGCAGTTTGACTGTTACTGACTGGAAACCACTTATATTGAAATGTTTATTAATACAGGTGAATTGAAACAGCGTAAGTCTGTCTCAGGTAAACAGTAGCTCAAGTTAGATTCCATCACTGACTGACACACACACTGATTCATATACACTTCTCAATAATTTCTTCTTTTTATTTTCCGGTGTCGCATTTATGTCTCTGCTGTTGTCGGCGAAGAAGCAGATACCCATGTATGAAGTCAGCATTTGTGAAGCATAATTCCAAATGGTCATTTACTTCAGTATGCAATTGCCTTACTCCTTCCTATGAGCTCAGTATTCAAGCCAGCCATTCTGCAATATGAGATTTGAATGAGAGTGTCAATGCAATTAACGCATGACGTATATAATGACAGAGGAAGTATATGATTGATTGCTGAAGGTCACTTTTAGGTTACTTTCTGTGGTTGTGATACTTTATGTCCACGCATAAATCATTTGAATTGCTTTTCGTAAATTCCATGAGCGGACCATTCGTTTTGGTGCACCTTTATAACATGATTTCGTTTTACACTGTAGTAATACAACTTTTATGAAACCGGGAAAATATCTCTACCTCCTTGATCAGAGTTTATTGTCAAAGGAATGTAATGGCACTTCATATAATGAAATAAGAGGGGTATATATGGACTGTTTCCAGGTTCAGATAAACGTGACAACATTTAACTTAATGCATAGATTTGTAGATGATTCTTTTGAACTTGTATCCTTGCAAAGTTGATTACTGTCAAAATGATTATGTCGAAGTATTTCTTTTAGTTTCTTCATTGGTAATTCACGTGTTTCCCATAACTCCTAACCATCACAAGAAATATTAATTCGTAACCGCACCAAATTAGTTAATGCAAATGAACATCGGAGATATAACAACCATTCTAATAGCTGTTAGAAAACAGTAGTATTCAATTGGTGTAGTGCAAATAAATCCTGATTTCTCCCCTAAAATCACTGCTCTATATAAAGGCTTCAAAAATCATGATTTGCATATACTACAGAACTATGTGGGATTGGAGGGGTAGATATTTAAAACAAGTAATAAAGGTTAATAAAGCAGGATTTAATGAATTCATCAAATTTCGGTAGAACTCGTCAACTGAATACTCTACATACACGGATATATACACTTTGAAATTACATTGGGAGATGTAAGACTGATAAGTAAACAAACTACATTGAACTAGTCATGCAGAAAGACACGTGCGAATGTTTTCCAGGTCATGTTCAAATAGATAAGGGGAGAGAGAGTATGAAAGATCAAAATCAAGATAAATCGCATTACGCTTCAATTACATCACTTAGATAAACAATTAGTCATTAGGGAATATAACGAAAATTGCAAACAGACTAATATCAATAGTAATAGTTATAATAATAGTGTTGAAGTGAGTTAAGATAATCTTACTGATAAAGCATAGTTTTAAATGAATCAAGAATAATAATAATAACAATAATAATAATAAGAGGTAGAATAATAGTAATGACAAGTAGAGAATAATAAATAAAGCATATTACCGTGGTAGATTCAGAGTCACAACCATCTTTTTTGTATACAGAGAGCTGGTTTATAAATTCGAATTGTACAAGCCTCTGCAATTGCAAGCATCTTCTTGTTTCTCCGTTTGCTGACAATAGTGAATGACTTGACCGCTTCGATATCATGTCCGTAATCCGCAAGATGTTTTGTTATTGAGGATTTTAGCACTTTAAAATAAATAAAAATTGTCTGTTCATCTGAAAGGTCTTCATCTTCACCTTTAAACTGTGGATAACATATCTAGGGGTATCAAAAACACACATCTCAATAGTAAAACGGTAAATGATTGACTGATTGAGAAGCATACTCAATACCAAATTCAATAGGTTAATATGTGAGAGTAAACAGGCAAACGGGTATCGCAAGGACAGTAAACATGACGAGATGAAAAGTCTCTTGAATTCGCTCCACTGAGCACATCCAATAAACATGCACAATTCATAGTAGTGTCATATAATACACGGGTTGAATATATACATATATGTATATATTAATAGAATACAACACATACTGCGATACGTATGATTTACGTGATAGCGCGTATGGTTTCTCCATAACAAATTCATATCTTGAATCTATAGCCGTTTGCCATATCTACATCTTGTTGGGTGGAAGATCGTCTCAAAGGACAGTGGTCTGATATTTGTGCAATACCCCCGAATGCGATCTTGATTATAACGTTTTCAATATGCACAATCATTTAGTGTGTATAAGAGATTTTTTAGGTTCTTCAACGACACCTCTTATGCTCTTTCTTGGACTTATTCATTTTGAGTTTTGTTTAATTAGTTTGTCATATGAAACTTTAATTGTTTCTAATTGCATGCTCATGTTCACTCGGAACAATGCCAGTAATTACATCTCTTCTCACAAATCAGAGTTATCAAGTTGTGGAAAAGAATTAAATTACTGATTGAGCCATGAAGAAAATAAAGGAAACTCGGGTGAAAAACATTTTCCTTATCTATGAGGTCACCTTCAAAGTCTGTGCAGTCGTATTTATATTCATTAAAGTAGTAATTCAGTCTATTATTGAGTAATTGGGGTATGCGGCATGATCGATGGTAGTTAACTTAAATGTTTCTCTTGATAACCGAGCCAGAGAAATTTTCAGAGATGTGACGAGAAAGTCTACGCCTTGTGAAGCCAATATATACAGATCCAGGGGAGAAAGTGGTTATTCAGAATTTTGGCCAGTAAATCACTATTTAAGGTCTACATTTTCAAAAATGATTTTCTCATCATATGTAGACTGTTCCTGGCTAACACTTTACTCTCATGTATTCTCGATCAATTCTGAGGGCTGTGTATTCTGAAGAAGGACTTATTTAAGTCTTTCCAGTTTGTCACTTAATGTATCATTGATACAAATTCTCTTTGTTTTCCAATCTATGGAGTAGACGAGGCTTTTTTTCCTTCTAAAAAGACCCAACTACGAAAATTTGTGTTTAGACAACTCCATGTTGGCTTCCTCTGAATTGACTGATCTATGGAGAAAACCGTGAGATAATGTTTTCAGAGAAACATCCAGAGAATAGAATTCAGACTTTATCTAGAATTCTTGTGTGAAAACATCTAGTAATTAGTGGACCTCTTTATTGTCTACTCAGAATCAGCATATTTTTACGTGAAGTGTGAGTATCGTCCATCTATGTTTGATCCAGATGAAAACTCTCAATATTGAATCGTGATACGTTGATTTTCAAACTTCTCATGACGCTGTCTCCAATCAACTGTTTCAATTAACAAGGTAGCATTCTCTAAAGAAAGATCCGAAGTTAAAGAACCTTTTTTCGATAAACTGTCTTCCGTTTTTCCAATGACAAGAAGTAAACTGGACATTAAGTCAAATATCGCTTTGATAAAACGATCAATAATATTGAATTAGTTGCGTCTCTGAGCTGGTTGATTTAATTGAAAAGCTGTCGTCGTCATTCTTGACAACATCTTCAGAGTAGATTTTAGTATGAAACAAACTTATTTGAATCCCTTATGAATGATGTAACTGCTGTCATGACTAGTTGTTACTTTACGTCTCTACTGATGATTTCGATTGATTCGGAATTTGAATTTCCCATCATGTAACTTACTTTTTCTTACCTGGTGGATTCAGTCTACAGCAATGTGTTTGTTAACCGCTGATTCATTAATGTGAGTACCAGGCTTCTAGAAATTCCCTGACTGCACTTTTTTTGTTTCCTCTGTTTATAATTTCTACATTATTCCAATCGAACTGATGTCCGTAATCATCTACATTCATTGATATGAAAGAATATATATCATATGAAGATGGTGCATGAATCACCTGACAAAGTAAACAATGTGTCCATTACAAGACGTAACTGAATCATCGCAAAGGTAACTGCGGAATATTACTGTCTCTGTCAGGTGTTGATAAGTGTTATCATGCAAATATGGTTTTACCATATTTACGGTTTTACCATATATTTTTTTAGGTTAGATTTTAACTATGATTTGGTTTAATAATGAAGACCTGTAGTGTTGATTTATATTTGTGAAAAAATTTGGAAGGAGTTGTATTCAGGTTGGTGAAGTTTATTTATCTGATGCACTATAACACCAAATATTAAACTAAAGTCTGTTGACATAAAATGTCCTTCATAAACTGTTGGAGACTAATCACATTTTGATGAGGTGTGTCTTTTCGTTAGTCTCTCTGAATTGTTAAACGATTTACGGCCTCATTTGCAGGGATTATAGATATACTATACTTTCTACTTGTGCATTCCTTCAGTAATGGAATAGTTATCCGGAAGATCTCTCCTGAATGATCTTATTTCAATTATTATCAGTATATCCTTTAATTCCTAGAGGAACATAGGGCTTCAGCTGCACATCTCCATTGCCTTCGGTTTTCTGCCATTGTTTTCACCCCGCTCCGAGTCTGTCCACATGCTTTCATCTCCTCTTCACATGACCTTCTCCAAGTCACCGTTACCCTTGGACGACCAACTCGCCGCTTCCCTTTCGGGTTCCACTCGAGCAATGGCTTGTCGAGTGATGTCACTTGATGGTTTCCTCAGAGTATGGCTAGCCAATCTATCTCCATTTCTTCCGGCCTATATCTTTCACAATCGGTTCCTGGTTGGTTCGCTCGTTGCCAGAGATCCCTGTTGCTGATCTTTTCTGGCTGGTCATCTGATCTTGAGTGGTATTGAGCGAAGACAACTGTTAATGAAGGTCTGTAGTTTGT